GAGATAAAGTATTATGTACACAGTTGTTCTCAAGGACACATTGTACAGTAGATAAAGGCGTTGGTTAGATCCAGTGACAGGACCCAAAGAGTGTGAGTTCAATACCCGGTTAAGGCAGTGGAGAACTTTCAGAGGGAAAATTAACAGGAGATAACTGATAACTGACACCCATTAAACATGGCACGTGGAACTAGAACAGTCTACCCCACTGAGTGAAATAAAGGTTCAGTTCGACATTCGAACCACCTGAAGAAGGCCGGACCGTACAACGGCCGAAACTTTGTAGTAAATATGGCGACAAAGATGAGGACAATAGTCCGAATAATGTAAATAATGTACACTTTAGAACTCTTTTACACATTTTCGGTATCGTAGAATATAGAAGTTTGATTTTCTATGGAATGTTTCTATTAGACACATTCCATGGAAAACCAAACTTCTAATCATCAATCATCATTCATTGCTCAAGTTTCACATTTCCTGTATTCAGCTAATCAGGAAATTTCACATTCTGAATAAAAAAAAAATCAAAGATTCTCACAGCTTTTTTGCTTTATCATGCACTAAATTCAAACCGGATGTTATTTTATAAATTTGTGTATGCCATTTACTTGTAGGATATTCTACGAAGAAAATTTTTGGGTGTCTACAAAGATCAATACTTTGCTTTTTCAAAAGAACGTTTTGACAAATAATCTCAATAAATTCTGAAACCATCTACTTTTGGAAAAAGGCATTTCCCGAAACCTTCTATGATGGCAGTATCTGTGCAATTTTCTTTCATATCTCTCTAGCAAACTCCTCTATCACATTTTCCATATTCTGCCTGGCTTTTTTATGTGCATTTTCTGTCTAATGGGTACCAACCAATCATTTTCACCATCAGTTATCCTTTTTATTTTTTTGCTGTCTCTCATCTCCATCTCGCTTTTTCGTTTAATCACTCCGACATTATTTTTATATTGGTATGTTCTTTGATTCATGTTTCCTTACCTTATCATTGCTCTTTTCATTGCGCTTAGCCTATTTCTAAGTTCCACACCCACTTAATTGGGACCTTGAATAAGTTCTCGCTGTTTTTTTAACAAATAGCTTTCCAAGAATTGCGTGCGTGTAGTTTCAGATGGTATCGCATCTATAAGCAAGGTTGAAATTATTATAAAAGTATTATAAGCAAGGTTGAAATTCAATGTATGTCATTTCGCCGAAGTGTAAACAAATTTGTTTTCCTAGCGTTAAACATGTCGAATTTCGTGCCAAAGAAAGTGTGTTTGAGGGGAATTTTTACTTCACTATTGTATTCAAAAGAATCTGCAGCTGAAGCACACAGAATTCTTGTTGAGACTTACGGCGACCATGCTCTCTCGGAAACAACACATAGAGATTGGTTTAGACGCTTCAACATCGGCGGCAAAGCCCAATATCCATGGTTCGAAGCTTCTTCTCTGCATTTAGTGGGATCATCTGGGTGTAGTTTATTATGAGTTACTGGAACCAACCGAAACCATCACGGGAGATCGCTATCGACTACAATTGATGCGTTTGAGACGAGCATTGAAGAAAAACGGTGGCTATACTAGCAGAGAAACGACAAAGTGATTTTGCAACATGACGACGCTAGGCCACTTGTTGCAAAACGGGTGAAAACCTACTTGGAAACGCTTAAATGGGAAGTCCTACCCCACCCACCTTATTCCCCAGAGATTGCTTCATCCGATTCTTACTTGTTCCGATTGATGGCACATGGCCTGGTTGAGCAGCACTTTCATTCTTGCGAAGATGCCAGTTTTTATTCCCTCTCCCCATGTAAGCAAATTCAACATATGGTCAGTATAATGTAGACACGTCACAGGCAATCCGAGGCCCGTGGACCACATGCAGCCCGTTTGGTATTTCTGAATGACACGCTTAATTTCTTAAGGAAAATAATGTTTCTTAAAATGTTATTTTGTTTCGCTCTCACTTGTTCACCCACACACTCTCTCATACAGAACCACGTACATGAACAATAATTAAGTACAATGTTTCTTGATTTTTTAAAAAATTTTGGGAAAGTAATGTTTAACACTACCGGCGATATTCACTACGAAAGACCATGCGTGTAAACAATTTTTTTTGCTTTTGAAACATGAAATGTTTATGAGATTCTTTTTCTCTAAAGAAGAAATATTTTCATTTTAAATGAATAAATTAGAAATAAGTCACACGCAGCGACATGTCTTAATCATGTTGTCATCACTGATAATATTATATCAAGACTGCAATTTTTTTTATTATTAAAAAAATATTTTCTAAAGAATAAAACTTCCCTACAGTTTCTAAGGCACATGTTTACGCAAACTGTTTTCTTTAGTTTAGGTATCTACTACGAAAAATAATCTTGTATCTTTTTAGTAGGGTGGCCCGCCTTAAGATGAGCCATAGCTCCTGAGACCCACTGCTTGAAATAGATTCCCCATGCCTGATGTTTGACCATGACAGAAATCGTCCAGTCTTCGCCACCAGTGTCACCCTGCGTTGAAATCGTCAGGTTATCCCTCGTTGGTGGAATGAGGGAAATGCTGCTTCAGGGTGAAAAGACTCAATTTACAGTATGCCTCGCAATCCCCGAAAACAGAAATAGAGCGCTGATACCCTGCACCGTAGCACAGTTAAATAAATATGAATAGCGAAAGACGCCTTCCAGAATTTAAGCAAATTATTAATACATCGGAAAATTTCGCTAGAAGCAAAGAAAAGTGTACTGAATCTTCTAATACGGTAGTGATGCTGGAAAATTTTCTTACAGGTGAGGAAGACCGTCGATGTGACAGAGATGCGATTCTACAGGCGGATGTTGTGAATATCATAGACTGAATAAGTAAACAAGAAAGAAATCCTAAAGAAAATGTTAATTAATGCCTGGAATATCATAGACGGAACATGTGAACAAGGAACATCGGCGTTGTGTTTAAATTTTTGAAGATTGTAAAGGCTAGGAAGAAAGAAATCGGAAAGGGAGTTCCATAGGCGAAAAGTGCGGGAAAACCAACGAATCAAACTGACGGTTGAATGTAAACAGTTCAACAGTAAAAACGGTGAAACCTCGTTGCCAATCTAGTAGCAGCGCTTAAAATCAGTCGAAGCACTACGTAACAAAGATAACCAGAACAATTGGCATTAAGATATTTGTAGAAAAGACTGCGAGAAGCCATGCCACATCGGTGAGAAAATGACTGAAGTCGAGATGCCTTGTCAGTATCGATTACATCACAGACTTCGATTTGAATTTTGTCAAGATTTTCTAGGTAGGTTGCAGGAGCATCAAAACAGATATGGCATGGACGAATTGTAATCTGTCTATATCTATAATTCTTAAAATGTGTGTGTGTGTGTATGAATGTGTGTGTATGAATGTGTGCGTGTGTATGAATGTGTGTATGAATGTGTGCGTGTGTATGAATGTGTGTATGAATGTGTGTGTGTTTGTGTATGTGATCGGATGTTGTTTATGTGTTTCCACAGTTTTCATTCAATTTCGACGAATTTTTTGTTTGATATTTTTTTTTGTTTGATAGATAATGCTTCATTTTTTTTTTGTTTGATAGATAATTCTTCAGTGCCGGTTTTGAGTCCAAATTGGCTGGAAAAAATTACAACCTTGAAGGTGAAAAATCGAAAAAACTGATTTTTTACACTTTACGCAAAATCAAAAGCAAAATTTAATGTCTGTAAAAAACAGCGTACAATCAATTTAGAGAGTGGAAATCTAATGCGAAAGATTATTAGAATTTAAAAAAAAAAAACATTATAAATAAAAATTATCGTATATTATTATTATGACGGTCCAAGGAAGAGGTTCCTTCCTTGCAAGATTGAGAACGCAAAAACGGCACTTTTCGAATTGTCCCCCCCCCATTTTGGGATGTGGCTCAGTTGCACCTAATTGTTGTTACTAATATTGATTTTTGGGTGGGCTGACATTAAACTTAAACTAATCCAATTGAACGGCAAAAATTCTCAGTAATGAAACACCCGGTCGAAGACAGGTTATATTGCTAGTTCATAATAAATGTGTACAATGAATTCTGACGATAAAATTGGTCTGTCACGACACAGTGAACCAACTTTCCTCGGAGTAGACCTAGCAATTGGTTCAGTATAACCACTCCACTGCATGTCAGCGGAAAACGTGATCCCAAGACGACGCAAAGAACGAGTTTGTTTGAATAGACGGAAGAGCCTTGTCCAAGAAAAAAAGGGTGAAATATTATTTAGAGCTTCAAATGGGCAGGGGACTCTGGAGAGTCATGGTCGCCCACCACATAAAGCACATAACGCAGGTACAGATATGTTTCTATTTTGGTATATATACCCCGCCACATATACACAGTCTTTCGCTTCTGCACGCACACAGTCCGATTATATCACTCAATAGATTAGGTACGTTAATTTTGCCTACTGAGAGCAAAAAAGATATTTATTGTAATTATTAAGTTACGAAATATTTACTGATACTGTGTTGGTAATTTTTGTCTAATTTGTGATTCCTGTATTTTTCCTTTTTCATCAGAGAGGAAAAAGGGGAAAAGGTTGTTGAAATGATTTTTTAATCAGAGTAAATCAATTAATTAAAAGAATATAAACTTAATATGCTCACTACAAAAGGAAAACTGAAAAAATACAAAAACAAAAACACACCCTCTAAAGGCTATCTAAATGCCGGCCTATAATAGCCACACCCCAACACACCTGTCCCTTGGTGTTAACTTGCTTACATTACATATTCGGGTTTTTTAAATGACTATAACTAAAAATTGTTTCTTTTGTTTGTAATTTAATTAATACTATTTTTAATCAATTCATTTTCCTTTAAAAAATGAAGTAAAAACAAAATAAAAAAAAAACAAAGCATGGAGGCGGAAGCAAACAAACAAAAAAAAAAATCTCCGAGTGATGGTACCGCATTATTTTTCTTGGCGTAAGTGATACCTTGAACAAGAACCACATGATGGGGAACAATGCTATATAACAATTATTTGCCCTACTCACGGTCGCGGCACTTGGCAGTCGTCAACATTAAGAGACAAGAGACAACAGTGAACCCTTTCTTTCACTCTTTCTTTTTTTCGTTAGGTGACCATTACTGTCAAAAAGAGGATACGCTTGGTGTGAGCGAAAGTGAGGGTGGCTTAGGTCCGGACACATCACCAACAAAATGGTAGGATAGCCTCGTTTCGGATCTAGTTCAATGGACGCTGCTTTCAAGCGGTTCCCTGCTGATTCTGTGGTCTGTTTTTATTTCTTTACTAATTTTACTGGTGAGTAACCAACTAAAAATATTAATGGTTGCTTGCTTTAGGTTATTGTTCTTTCTGAGTTCTTTAGTGCGTTATTTTGTTTTTTTTTTTATGACTTTTTTTCCCTTCTGGAAGCATATGAAACGCTAAAGCAGAGTTTTGGTGCTTCTCAATATGTTATTTTAAATACCATATATTTTCAGGGCGTATACGATTATGACTCTCCACAGATTTTGTTTCTTTACAATCTGTGAATCGCTATTACTTTTAGGAAAAAACAACAGAGTGGTTTCCCGTTGCCTTCCTCACAGAGTTGAACTCACAGTAACCCTTTCCCCAAACAGCCTGCTACCTAAGGCTACCCTCTTATTTAACCCAAAATTGAGCGAGAGGTGATGGGGTGTATTAATGCCTTTCTCAAGGGCATTAATGTGATAGTGAACACAGCAGACTCGGCGGAATATGAACCCGGTTCTCGGATACCATTTTAATTGTCAATAATCTTTACGCTACCCGAATTTCATTAAAAATAATAATAGTAATAAAAAAAAATAGAAAATATTTCTATTGTTTTACTAGTCAAGAAGTGTATGTAACTCCAGTAAAAATTTAAAAAAATGATGAAGATACTTGGTGTGATAGAGATGTGGTACTAAAGACAGATGCTGGGAATATCTTAGACTGAACATGTGAACAACGAGGAAATTCTAAAAAAAAAAAAAAAAACGGCAACTAATGCTGGGAATATCAGAGACTGAATATGTGAACTGTTATGTTTTGCATATCTCTCTGCGTAGTAATAGTCGTAGTACAGTTCTCCGTATCTTGAATAGCAATCGTGTTTGTTAGGTATAGCTCCCATGTTTGCCAATTGTTCTCTATTTATACTGGTCTATCTAATTTGCATACGATACTACATGAACAAAGAAGAAATTCTAAATAAAATGACAAATAATGCTTGATATATCACAGACTGAACATTTGAACAACGAACAAATAAAATGGCAACTCATGCTGGGAATATCATAGACTGAACATTTGAACAAAGAAGTTCTAAAGAAAATTCCAACGAGAAAGCCATGAATACGTGTTTATTAAAACCGCCTGTGTCGTCAGTGCACCATATGTATTGCAGCTATAGCCACAGTGAGTGTGTGTAAGGCAAGATTGCTCGTCGGAACCCATTCGTCTTCAGGTTGAGTTCTTCGATAGTTGTTGCCACCCAAGGCTAGATAACTTAGTCTGTTCTGCTATTTAACCCTTAGCGAAAGTGAATATAACGGAATTTGAATTTGTTTCGCAGATTCAACTTAAAAAATGAGTAAAATTTAATAAATGTTACTCTTGTGTATAGAGGAGATAGATTTTGAGAAGTTTAATGCATTTTCTAAAATCCTCTTCGTTTCTTATCCTTTGTTAATATTTATGTCACATTCGAAGAGATTTTAACCCGTTTTCGAAACTCTTTTTAATCAATTGCTAGCTTTGCTGCTAAGAAAAGTATGTTCACTCTGTCGTGTAAATCAATTTTTCTCGACAGATTCTATCTTAAATATTTATAAGTCTACCAGCCGATATTAATTTGAATATGGCTGTCACATCTAGTCTGGCGCTTCTGCTATATATTTAGAGATTCTTTGTAAAACCCAAAGAAGGTGTTATTCGTCGTGACCTGGCATCACGGATTCAATCACTTTCCAACCGCCGTAAAATCTGCCCTGTGTCTTTTCTATAAATACGTTCATTGTAATTGTTCTGATGAAATTGCTTGTAGAACTCTCTTTCGGCTTCTACCTTCCCAGTAAACTTTGATCTTCAAAAATGTTTATGCAATGTCAGTCGTTATCTTCTGTCTTTTTAATTCTTTTTCTTTATATTTATAAATCTGCCATTCGTCTTTGCTTTGAATATTGCTGTCACACCTGGCTTGACGCTTCTGATCTATATTTAGAGATTCTTGATAAAATCCAAAGAAAAATCCGTAATGTTATTGGTAATTTTTCCTCTTTTACTTTAATTAATAATTACAAAGCATAGTCTAGAATAGCTTTGTAATACTGTTCCTATATATGGGTAAGGGATATTCAGTCTTCATTCTCCAGTCTTGATAGAATCCAAAAGCATCTCCGCGTCCTTGTGGGTGATGAATTATTTTCCACCCTACAACGCCTTTCCCACGGACGAAACGTTGTAAGTCTCCCCGCTACTCTATTGCTATTTCCATGGAAAGTGTTCCGGCGAATTCCATTTCTTAATCTCACCAGTTATAACCTTCACGGCTAAGATCCGAGATGTAAGTGCCATTCGAACAGCTTTATCCCACGAACCGCTACTTTCTGGAACAAACTCCCAAGAGGATGTTTCCTCGATCACTACGATCTTAACCTGTTCAAATCTAGAGTTAACCGTTATCTTCCCCACTTATCCTCATAAACTGTGCCTTTTACTCTGTAACCATCTACCTCAAGTTACTCTTGGGCTTTGTACAGGGTGAACATTATTGTATAAAAGAAAATAGCTTATAAATATCACAGGTGGGGTGTCCCAAGTAAGTATCGAACTCATAACAGTGATAAACATCTATGAGACTAGTTTTGTTATGGTTGGTTCTTGAACAGGGTGAAGATTATTGTTAAAAAACGCTTATAAATGTCAAAGGTGTGGTGTCCTGAGTAAGTATCGAACTCATATCTGTGGTAAAGATCTACGAGACTAATTGGTCAATATTATGCTTGGATTTTGTTCATTATTGTAAAAAAAGAAAAAGCTTATAAATATCACAGGTGTGGCGTCCCGAGTAAGTATTGATCTCATAACAGTGGTAAAGATCTACGAGTCTAGTTTGTTAATGTTATGTCCCATGGCGGGGCCTCCACACCTTTTAATCTATTTTTCTTTTAATAACTATTTTATAATGTTTTGCTTTTCGCCTTACGTTTCCGTTCTTGTATCAGGTTTTCTCTTTTTTTGCTGTTAGATTCTCTTTGTATCTCTTTTCCTCGACTGTCACTTTCATTATCTTTATTTATGTCTTCATTCGCCCTTTCTTTCTCTTTACCCGTTCCGTTTACTCTTCTTGTTCTCTACCCATTTTGTTCCTGTTTTAACATTTCCTTATCCCTGTCTTTGCCCTAGATTGTATTCCTTTCACATAAAATCTCTTAAAATCATTTTATAGCCGTTTTTTAAGTTGTAGATCCCACATAGACCGTGACATGTTTTAGTCTCCGATATTTCGTCGCCATCAATTTAACGACTTAGAATGAAATTTGGAACGCTGAAAAACATCTTTTTTTAACCTTTACAAAAAAAACAAAAAACAAAAAAAAACAAAACAAAACAAAAAAACCTCTTATTTTCTTTCATTTCCAAGAGGGATAAGTACATATACTATGTCAGGTCTTCTTTTTTTCATTCAAGTCAGTATTTTTACACTAAAATTGCTATTAACCAAACCAATGATGGTAAATTATCATTTTTTAAAAAAATTACATTAAATATAAATATAGATTAGTACTGGTCATAAAGTGGGTATTGTTTTTCTATTGTTATTTAGTAATAAACTGATCTACCTTTGAATTTCTGCACTTTGTAAGATTTTATTATGCAAGTCAATACTGTTACAATAAAATTGTTAATTAACCAAAAGATTTTGATAAAATATTTACTCTATACCTATATAAATATACAATATAAATTTCAGCTCATGTATCTATTTTTGTGAGAACTATTTGCGATAAATCGTAAGGTGATCCGAGATCTTACGCACTTCCGGTGGCCATTAATGGATTAAATAAAGATTAGAAAGAGTGACATGTACGTTGAGCGAAAGGCATGAAAATTAAGTAACTCTAAATTAAACGCAATACTTAAGTTTAAAATGCATTTTAAAAAAATGAAAATCTTTCTTGAAGCTTTATTTTAGTTTTAATTCCAAGCTAATGAATTAAATTTAATATTTCCAATAAGCAAACTACTTTGATGTCTTTCAAACCGAGTTTAAATTTATTGGAACCTTTTATTCTCCTTATCAGTAAAATCTAAAAATTCGCTCATATTGACAAATCTCTCAAACACAAAATTAAAAAAAAAAATGTTAAAAATTTTTTCAAAATAAAATATGCTTTTTTGATTTTCAATAAGCAAAGTACTTTGTTGTATTTTAAACCGAATTTTAATTGATTGGAATAATCTTTTATTGTTTAAATCGCTAAAAATGGCTGAAATCGTCCATATAAATCTGTAAGCACAACGGAATTCTCTTTATTAAAAAATCTTTCAAAAATAAAATATACTTTTTTGTAATATTATTTGAGGAAAATTAACTGATTTAATTAATCTGAACTGAAAAAAATTACTTACTTTTACTTTAAAATATCGCAGAAAAAGCATTTTTTAATACGGAGAGTAATTTTCTGACATGTCGAGTGATTTATTGAAAGCTTTGGAAAAGTTAAGTAAGAGGGGCAGAACTGATATAAATTATTTGACGAATACAACTTGAACGCCTTTTCTTATAATTGTTTAACTACCCAATAATCTTAAAAATTTAAGAAAATATTTTAAGCAATCTAATTATTTATTTTTAGGTACTTTGGCTTTATAGGCTTACTTACGCTTGGTGTGAAAATGTTAGAAGCAGACCAGTAAATTTTAAATTTATTATAGACACTATTTTTTGATAATATCATGTGTTCATACATGATATTATCAAAAAATAGTGTCTATAATAAATTTCGTACTTACAAAAACCGACACGTTTATAAGCATAAAAAAATAAAATAAAAGAATTCTGGGGCTCCCTGGATTGTAGTGAGCTTTTCTATTTATGATTAGTAAATACAATATTAATTTAATAACAATATCACCTGAACGCAACAAATTATTACAGAATTTTTAAAGATTTAAAATTATAAATTATTTTAATTAAAATTTAAAAAAAATGAAACGGTTTTTGCAAAAATTCATTATTCATCGAAATTTTCTTTTTCTTAAGACTATAGTGCCCATAATAATAAATTTCACTCATAAAAGCAATTAAAATTTTTCGAATTAAAAAAATGCCTCAGTTTTATTGCACTTTTGCTTTACGATTTAGTGAAAATTTTTATACAACTGATCGTCCCGTATGATCAAAAACATCTGACGATTTGATTTCTCTGACCTTAACAGATGTAAGAAATTGTTTTACAGAAATTTTTACAAAGAAAGTTTCGAAAATTACTTAATTTATTTCTAAATACGCCCTGAAAATTTCATTAAAATCTGATAATTTTCTGATTTTTGTATAATCAATGTTTTTATAGCAAACGAATGCTCAAATTTCCCGTACAAATTTAAGGGCTCGCGTTGACGCCAGAAAAAAAAAAAGATTTTTCCAAAATTTCAAAGATGATTAAAAATTATTTTACATAAAATATCATTTTATTTTACTTAATAATAACATAAATTTTGATTTTAAGATTTGGCCATTTTTTTCATCATGCATCCTATATTTAACGAATTTTTCGATGTACCTAAAGAAAACATTTTTCTTATCAGTAATTTTTAGTGATAAATCTAGAACTACGTGAGATGGTTTGAAAAGCGGCTGGTCATTCATTGAAATAGTTAAGCAAAATGACTTAGGGAAGTTGGAGTTCTGTTTGAGCGGTGAAATGATAGGCGCCTTCGAATTTGTTAATAGTGTTAAGCTAAATACAAATAAGTATTGTAAGTTGCTCTTGGACAAGTTGATTTTAGAGGGTAAAGGTTATAACCAAGAAGTTTTAAACTAAAGAGTATATTCATGAAAGATAAAATTATGAATTTAAGCGTGCTACTAGATTGTCATCTAAGATCTCACCCGTTTTACTGTTGAAATAGCTAAATGTAAACGCCGCCTCTACTTCAAAGCTTCATTTCTCACACTTCCCGTGTTTAAAACTCCTTTCCGTTTACTTGCTTCTCTGATAACTATTCAAAAATGTAAATGAAATATCAATCGCCATCTTCTATCTTCTTGAATCACGTTCATATTTTGTCCTCTTCTTACTCCCCTATTCTGAGTCTTTTCTCTCACTTTCACTCCCTGTAATCCCCTGCGAACTAATGGCATTTCTGCTTTGCTTGGGGTAAAATGATTATACAAAAAAAAAAAACAAAAAAAAACAAAAACACCAAAAAAAAAAAAACAAAAAAAAAACAAAAACGACAAGCTTAACGCTTGTCCATCTCGCCATCAACATTAAAAAAAGAAAACATTTTAATAAAATCAAAATTAATATCTAGCCTCTCCAGATATTTATTCAACAGAAAGATTGTGATCCGTCATAAAAAAGAAATGGAAAACAATTAAACTGACTGCCAATTTGAAACTTTTCTAAGATCTTCAGACTTCTTGGTTTGAAGAAGGCATTGAAGCGTGAAACTGACAGTCACTATACAATATTGATTCCTGTGTCTACACTTTTTATATCTTGGATATTGTATACGGCTTTCCTATAAATATACCAAATTTACACAATATATATATATATATATATATATATATATATAGTTAAGAAATCATAACTACTTTTGTTAAATTTTGTATGATAAATTAGCTTTTGTTCTTCGTCTACGAGACGTGTCCTTTCAGGACATGAGCGATCATGCCTCTCCACATTTTCCTGTCCTTTGTAGCTTTTAATAAACTTGGTCTTTTTGCTATCTCTCTGCTTTCCATTCACATAATCTCATCAGGTAGGTGCCTTTCCCTTTTGCCTCCAATATATTCTGAGAGTGTCAAATTTTCCAAACCTTCTTTCCTCATTATGTGCCTCAGCAATTTTAACTGTCTCTTTCTGATTTATGTGTACTTTTGCTTCCATTTTTCTTAAGACTGCTTCGTTGCTCACAGGTTCTGTCTATGGTATTCTCGAATTCACTGTTACTTATAAATTACTTTTGCCAAATTATGAGTGTATATAACAGTCATTTCCCCACCCACCATCTGTGAAATAGTTCCTTACCTCTTACGCAGCTCTGACTTACCTGATACGTTTCAGTGGCAAATTGGATGAATGTGTCCTTCTATATCAACAATTTCATAACACTGAAGTGAGATGATTTTGTTGCGTAAAATTGTAGCGACAGGTAATTTGTGCAAAATCTAAGCTTTACACGTGTCTGTTTTTTTTTTTGGTGAATTGCTTATTTCCTCGTGTCACGGCTATTGGATGACATCAGGAGCCACTGATTAAGGTTAAAAGGTAACCGCCAGGGCCAGGCGTCTTTATGGTAACTGATCTATTCTCACCGGCTTCTGTGCACAGTGTCACTCAAAAAGATCTATTCATTTGTTGCTACAGGTGTGTGACACATGATACATATATGGTAGTGACAAAGATAAATTTCGGACAAATGAAAAACACACAAGAAGAAAATAGCCAATTTAAGGTGAGAACGTTATACGCTCGGAACGTCTAATACACTTCAGAAAAATGAACTCGTACAAACCTTAGCTTTTCTTGTTATTAAAAAAAAGGTATATATATTTTTCTTTTGTGTGGCTCATATACCAGTCATTTTAAGACTTTTTTTTAAACAGACGAACATACATACATACATATATATATATATATATATATATATATATATATATATATATATATATATATATATATATGAAGCCTTAAGGTGTCCTATATTTATGGGATAAAGTGCTCAATATCAGAGATAGAGCGTGTGTAAATACAAAAGTGAACATAGAAGTCAACACTTAGAGGCAACAGCCAGTTTCATGCTAGACGCAATTGTCAGGCCTGACGATTGCGTCTAGCATGAAACAGCTGTTGCCTGTTGATATATATATATATATATATATATATATATATATATATATATATATATATATGAGTTTAAGATCAAATACAGATCAAATATGGATTGGAATCTGACAGGATGATAAAATAAAAGAACAAATCGGAAATGTATATTATTCTATCATGTTTCACTTTTATTAAAGCTTCGTCAGAGTTTGAGAGAAAACAAACAAAAAGACAGAATACACTGGTATTTTCAATTATGCTCTCATTTGTCAGAC